TTTGCGACCTGATAAAAATTTAGATACCCACCGCAAAGACCTGCTGGACAGTCCGAATTCCAACATACTCAGCAGGACATGAGTGTGACTGACTCTGTCAAATGCCCTTTTGATGTCTAAAACACTACGACCGTCAAACTACCACAGGCGTGTTCATGCTCCACATATGTTACGAAGTCCAGTATTGTATCCATTTTGCATCTCTGTTTCCCAAAACCTGTTAAGTAGCTGGAGAATACACCAGTTCTGTTGCACCGCCATTGAAGTCTCGCATCAATCATTTTTTCCATTACCTTACATAGACAGCTGGTCAGACTGATTGGATGGAAGGATTCAAGGTTCAAAGGCATCTTAGCCGGTTTTAAGATCGGAATGATGCGAGAGACTTCCAAGACTCGGGTACAATTTCTTGCATCCCTAGATTATTGTAAATATCTAAGAGAACAGTTGTGTCTGTGGGCCCAAGGTTCTTCAGCATATTGTACGTAATGCCCTCGGCTTCGTAATTTCCCCGGCTTCGTATCCATATCCTATAATACCTTAGTTAAGCTGTACACTTAAAGTGGTTCCAAGTATACTGCAAAAAGTAAAGGTGAAAGCGACACCCCTGACGCACTAATGAATTTACCTCTATTATAGCTGAAAGCGTGTGATTCACAATTATTCTTGTTGTGCACTTTTTATAAAATAGTGATACGCCATTGTACAGTGCATCTTCTAACTGGATATGCCTGAGCAGACAAAACAAAAAGTCATGTCGCACCTTATCAAAAGCCTTAGCAACGTCAGTTTGATAAGAGCTACCTGATTCATTCTATCGTCAACGCATTCAATGAGTAATCGTGATACATGGATATTTGTCTGTATAAAGCGGTCTATTATTATACGGGTTTGATGGGCACCTGCACATTTAGTAATCACAGTTTTTAACCTGTTCGTGAGCATTTTCGCAAATATCATATAATCAACGTTACATAAAAAAGTAGGCCTTTATCTTGTTACTATTTTTAAAACTTCACTGTCGGTACTTTTCGGGATCAAAGTAGTGTGGCTTTGATAAAAGAAAGGCGGAAGTTCCCCAAGTTCATATACTTCTTTAAGAAGGGCCTCAAAGAAATGAATGAGAATTTCTTGATATTGTAACGGAGACGAGATCGAGGTTTATTCAAACAGCTGATCACCAGCTTGACGATATGGTGATTGAGTACCACGCGCCAGCTCTACGTTTTCTCGTCGTCTTTATCTACGGCGACAACCACTCTGGTTCATGTCTATGTTGCACCGTAACAGCACCCTCCCGCGACGGAAGCGCCATCGCGGCACTTTCTGAAGAGATGAAGAGCTAACAGGGCATTATGGCTTCAACCTAGAAACGTGTACGATGTCTGTCTTGGGTGGCGTGGTCGAAGAAGCTGAGTCCACAGGTGCGATCTCATAATTGACGTCGCTAAGTCGGCAGAGTACTCTGTAGGGGCCGTTGTGACGGGAGAGAAGCTTCTCGAATAAGCCGACTTGGCGGCAGGGTGACCAAAGGAGTACCAGAAATCTTGAAGTGGACGCTTCAATGTCAACTATCTTAACGATCCTTTTGCTGTGCTTACGACAAAGATAGTCAATCATGGGCGACTTGTCGAGCTGTATGTGCTCGAACAATGACGTCGTTGGCGTATGCAGTAGACAAGGATCTGGTTGAAGGAAGGAGGGTCTCATATGGTAACACTGAATGCCGACCAAATAGCAAATAGAATGGTGAATAACCCGCTGTATCATGTCGTGAAGAATTATAAGTAATTGTGGCAAATGGCAGTGCAGTGTCCCAGCCACGGTGATCGAATGAAACGTACATCGGCAGCATCTGAGTAAGTGGTCGATTGAGACGCTCGGTCAATCCATTCGTCTGGGAAGTATAGGCTGTGGTAAGCTTGTGCTGAGTGGAGCAGGTACGGAGAGTGTCGTCGACGACACGTCTAAGTAAGTACCTTCCTCGATCAGTAAGCAGCTGTCGAGGGTCGTCATGATGTAGAATGCCGTCGTACAAGAGAAACTCAGCGACGTCGGAGGCGCAACTCGTCGGCAGTGCTCAAGTGATGGCGAATCGTGTGCAATAATCCGTGGCGACAGCAACCTATTTATTACCTGAGGTGTAAGTAGGAAAAGGGCCTAGCTAGTCAAGGCACACACAAAAAAAAGGGCTCCATGGGTATGTCGATGGGGTGTAAGTGGCCAGAAGGCAATACCGAGGGGCGCTTTTGGCCTTGACAGTGGTCACATGAAGCGACGTAACGAACCACAGAACGGTACATGCTGAGCCAGAAAAAGCGACGTCGCACTCGATCGTATGTACGAGAGACACCAAGGTGTCCGGCAGTTAATACATCATGAAGTAGTTCTAGGACACTGTTGTGTAGATGGCTGGGTAACACAAAGAGTAGTTCCGGGCCATCAGCATTAAAGCTGCGACGGTGCAGGATGTTGTCATGCAGCTCGAACAGTCGGACAGACGGGTTGGGTGATGGAGACGTCAGACGGTCGATAATAACCACTAACAATGGGTCCCGTCGCTGTTCACTGGCGATGTCAAGCAAAGCGCGGATGGACAGCACTCAGGGGTCCGAGTCAAGGTCTTTTAGTTAGTGCTCTTCACCTGGATCACGTGACAGCCTGCGTCTGTGTGAAGTCGCCCCGACTCGTAATGTACTTTAAACGAATATTCCTGAAGACTTAGTGCCCAGCAACCGAAACGTCCAGACGGGTCCTTTAGTGATGAAAGCCAGCAGAGAACGTGATCGTCCGTGACTACGGAAAACGTTCGGCCATAAGGTAGGGGCTGAATATAGTCACAACTCACACTAGCGCTAGGCATTCACGCTCAGTGATTGAGAATTTCTGCTCCACGGGCGAAAGGAGACGACTGGCGTAAGCAATTACTCGATTCTTGCCGTGCTGTTGTTGACCGAGATCCGCCCCAATTCCGTGGCCACTGCCATCGGTCCGAAGCTCTGTATGCGAAGCAGTGTTGAAAACGGCCAGTATTGGCGGCGTAGTCAGCAGATGGATGAGGGTAGAAAAAGAGTCAGCTTGCTCAGCACCCCAAATGAAAGGAGCGTTCTTTTTAGGAGATCAGTAAGAGGTCTCAAAAGTTTCAGGGGCATTGCAAAGTCCCAACGGCATGACCTTGAATTGGTAGAGACCATCAGTCGTCACAAAGGCAGATTTTCGCGGTCCATGGGGTTGACTGACATTTGCCAATAACCAGACTGATGGTTCATCAATTAAAAGTATTGTGCTTCATGAAGGCAGTCAAGAGTGTCACCGATCCGTGGCAAAGAGTAGACGTCTTTATGAGTTACTTTGTTTAAGTGGCGATAGTCAACACAAAAGCGCCAGCTTCCATCCTTTTCTTCACGAGCATGACGTGATTGGCTCACGGGCTGAACAAAGGGTCTATAACGTCCTTAGTGATCTTTTTGTCAACTTTGCGCTGAAATACTTGGCGTTCCTGATGAGATACGTGATACGGATGCCGGCGTGTAGGAGTGGCGTCACCAGTGTTGATCCGGTGAGTAACGAAAGGTGTTTGACCGAGAGGACGGTCGTCGAAGTAAATAATGACGCAATTAGATGCAAGTAGATGATGGAGATTTGTTGGTGGCGCCGGGGATAAATCGGGGAACGATCATTTTCGCGATGGCGTCACGAGACAAAGTAGAACTAGCATCATGACATGGTGACGAAACATCGGCGTCCAAAGCGGCAATTCACGCAATTGTCTAGCGAAGAGATGGTGGCCAATGACATGTCTTCAGGAATCACTTTAGTGAATAGGCTTGCGTTGAGAAGTGGAATGACCACTGTTTATCGGCCTCAGAAACAATAGTGTGAGCAAGGGCGACGTCTCACGCCAGCAGTACGTCGACAATAGGAGACGCGAGGTTGTCGCCGTCAGGCATATCCCGTGAACAAGATAAAAGGACGTAGGTAGCAGCTTGGGGTGGCAAGCGCGCGTGATGGGGAGACGGCAAGCGGGGAGGCAGGTCGGCCGGAAAATCGGCAAGCTGAGGCAACTCAAGCTGAAGAGTGCCTGTCGCACAATCAATCAGTGCGGAGTGACTGGACCAGAAAATCCAAGCCAAGGAATTAGGTCGTGGGGACATTGGTCAATGGTGGTAAGTTGAACGGAGGTAGAATGACGGGCTATACAAATACGGGCAGTGCACATTCCGTAAACGACAGCAGTTCCTCCATCGGCGACTTGGAGTGTGCGGGAAGTGGCACGTGTGAGGACCTTATAAAGGTGGTGGCGAAGATTTGCGCTCATTACTGAAATGTTTGTTTCTGTGTCAATAAGCGCCCAAATAGGTACACCATAAGTCAACGTCCAGCAAACTTCGTCTCGTCAAAAATGCAAAAGAGGATTTTGGGAGGAAGTCAACAATGCAGCGTCCCCTCTGGGCGCTGCACTGTTTTGTTTTCCGCGTAATGAAGGAGCAGGGTTAAACAGGGAGGGCGGCCGGCGACTCTACGGTGAGCGAGACGACTGGCGACAATCTGGAGGCGAGCGTGACTGATGACCACGGGGCGACGGGGAGTGGCTGTTGACTTTGTGCATACGTTGGGCGAAGAGAACTGGGTCGACGGAGCAAAGTGGGTGTCACTCTGTCGGCGGTACGGGGCAGACAATGTCCGAAGTGGCGAGGACCAGCGGACATTGCAGTAACGGACTACATGTTCAATACAATGGCAGTGAAAACAAATCAGCCGGTTGTCGGCAGTCCTCCAAGTTGCAGCGTCGCGAGAGCGGGCGGCAGGAAAGCGCTGCTCGAGACAGGACGAGGCTGGACGCCATGAGCTTGGCTGTGAACTGGTCATAGCGCACATCGAGTGTATGCTGATGCTGGCGAGTTCCTGACGAACGATGGCCTGAACCATGGGAGCAGTACCTGGTGTCGTATCAGCTGTACCGGTGTAAGTAGGAGCAGGAGCCATGGCTTAAATCTCACGCCTTACGATTCTAGTCACCTGGTATGGTGGAACGGGTGCCGGTGACTGCGTTCTCTCGCGATCTTCACACGACGATGTTGCAGCCGTGTTGAGAAGCCGGGCAAACGCGCCGTTGATGTGCCGGCTCTTAGCCTGCTCAAAGTGCCTGCACTCCTTTATAATGGCGTCCATGGTTGAGTGAATCTTACATATTAAGAGATTGAAGGCGCCGTCAGCAATCCCTTTAATTATGCTAAACTTTGTCGGCCTCCGGCATCTAGGCATTCGATTTCCGATACAAAGAAATGACATCTTCGATGTACGAGATGTACGATTCTGTGGATGTTTGCGCCCGAGACGCGAACATTTTGTTTGCAGCCATCTTTCGTCCAACGGGCTTCCCGAACGAGTCTGACGTTTTGTTCCTGCACGTGTCCCAGCTCCTAAGTTCTGCTTCATGGTTTTCACACCACATTTTGGCGGTTCCCTTAAGGTAGAACAACAGGTTCGCCAGCATAAGAGTCGGATCCCATCGGTATCGAGTACTCACACGTTCGTACTCTGCCAGCCAATCCTCAACGTCCAATTCATCTGGATAGCTGGAACCGCCAAACGTGCCAGGATCCCGTGGGGGTTCAAGCACGAAGGTTGTAGTCCCTGGAGCAGATGTGGTCGCCGCGTCATCTCCAGCCACAGGAACACCGAGGGCAGATGCAGACGCCGTATTTTTCGTCATAGTTCCAGAGTTACCCTTCAAACGACGGCCGCTGCGAAGTTCCGTTGCGAGGTAGTTACCCAGCAGCTCCACCAAATGTGACGGAGGCGAGATCGAGGTTTATTTAAACAGCTTATCATCAGCTAGACAATATGGGAATGAGTAGCACGCGCCAGCTGTTTCCGTCGTCTTCATCTTCGGCGACCACCATCCTGGTTCATGTCTATGCTGCACTGTAGCAATACGGTATGTAAAATTCAGCACTAAGGCGATATTGGCCTGGAATTTTGTTTCTTTGCAAAGTTCTGATCGCAATCTTAATTTCTTTCTTAGTTAAAGATACACTTATAGTGAGCCGATCATCTACCTGTAAGCATGGCATTGAAGCAATGAATTGTTCAGCTTTTTTCCTTCATAGTCATCGGTAACCTCAGCCGTGGTGAACAGGCTTTTGTAAGACTGGCGTGACTCTGCGGTAGAATACTTCATTTACATGCAGAATGCTTGGATTCGATTTAGGCCGAAACCATTTATTCTTTTCACTCAATGTCGAGCGCTAACGATTTCAGCTTTCCTTAATTCTCTCGCATTTAAATTAGCAAAATCTGTTCTCGCCGTTTGTCGGTACATATGTGCTATTAAATACCTGTGGCGCATACCTGCATACCGCTGTTCGTGGCACACGGGAACGTGCCACACGTGTCTGGAAGAAGGGGTTTCAGGTCCTACGTGACACCTGTTTCACATTACTCATGCCATGGTCAGACAGCCATAATCGTCAAAGCCTCTCAACTACACACACTATATTGGACTATCTCATGTTATGAAGGTAAGTACAAGTGAACCCAGACGTAAGCGTACAGACAGACAGACAGACAGACAGACAGACAGACAGACAGACAGACAGACAGACAGACAGACAGACAGACAGACAGACAGACAGACAGACAGACAGACAGATAGATAGATAGATAGATAGATAGATAGATAGATAGATAGATAGATAGATAGATAGATAGATAGATAGATAGATATAGATAGATAGATAGATAGATAGATAGATAGATAGACAGATAGATAGATAGATAGATAGATAGATAGATAGATAGATAGATAGATAGATAGATAGATAGATAGATACGGGCACTACGAAAAAGTATGTGGATAGCTGTACTATGCAAATAAATGCTTCTCATTTAAATGTCAATACCTCCGGTGGAATGGAACTGATTTCAAGCAGTCGGCGTGGCATTTAGCTGTTCTGCAACCAAGCAAAACCAGGTCATGGAACTCGTATGAAAAAAGACTTTATGCAGATATTGCCGGTGCAACATCAAATGTGGTTGAAGAGTTAAAGCAATGAGCACCGCATATGTTAACCAAAGACACATGCGTCATGCCGTGTTAACGGCAATGGGGGTTCAAATGTTGACTCTACTTTCATAGCAGTGTAATGAAGGATGCATTTGTATTAGTTAGTTCACTAAGCGTCACTCGCCTACAGAAACATCCATTGGCCTCATGACGTTGTCGTAATTTTGAAAATGCCGCATATCGAACTTCTTTATTAGTGTTTTTCTTATCATTGATTGTCGAAGCACGAGATATCTATTAAATGTTTTGTCACGATAGCATTAAAAAGATGCTTTCGCAGAAATTCAGGTGTCGGCGTTGGCGTTCTTGTCCTTGGTCGGAGCGAATACTTATTATCTTGTGCGGGACCGAACGTCGAAAAAGATGGAGATGAAATAAATAATGAAAGGTTCTTGATGTGATCGGCGGTCGAACACGGTTCATTTGCGTGGCAAGTGGGTGTTCCATCCCATAGCTATGCATCTCTTTGTGAATACAGGGAAAATGACGTCCTCTGCATAGAAATGCTATCAAAATGACTTTCATTCTTTTTATATACATGCTTCAGAATACATGAAATATTGCACTAGTAATGCGTTGTACAAGCATACATTGCCGTCGGGCTTCAAAACATGCGAATATAATAATGAATTTATTGTTTAAAGCCAGCCACTCCCTACAAAACGTACACACGTATCTGCGCCTATACTCTCGAAGCCACGTAGTGGCGCAAAGCGAGTTCGGAAATATTTTACTCACTAAGGTTTTGAAGTTTGCCGTAGAGACGCGATATTGCTATCGCATTGAACTCTTAAAGGCGAAATTTAAGGGTCCCCAATATTTCACCTTTATGCCATCTTTGCAGCAGCCGACGCCACAAGATCTGCGGATCACCGTATCGGCTACAGGTCAAAAGTGGGTGCGTGTGTGAATAGCGTCTCGGAAAGCAGAACTACGCTTTTCTTTCGAAAGTTCGCCCTCTCCAAGCTTGATAGTAAATGTGGTGGATGCATTTGCGTCTGCCTTTTCGACTTTTTTCGATAACCGTTTCTACTCGGACAACCCGATGCACTGCAGCAAGGTTGCGAATCGACGCGAGTAAGCTGTAGCAAGTTACCTATTGATTGATATGTGGGGTTTAACGTCCCAAAACCACTATATGATTATGAGAGACGCCGTAGTGAAGGGCTCCGGAAATTTAGACCACCTTGGGTTCATTAACGTGCACCCAAATCTGAGCACACGGGCCTACAACATTTCCGCCTCCATCGGAAATGCAGCCGCCGCAGCTGTGATTCGAACCCGCGCCCTGCGGGTGAGCAGCCGAGTACCTTAGCCACTAGACCACCGCGGCGGGGCAAGTTACCTATCAGGCACGCCGTTCGATTTGTGATGCGTCAAGCCCACGCCATTCACCCTCAGCAAACCGTGAAACCGCTCTCTTTTATTTTTACGCCACATCAGCTATACGAAGACGTTACTCGAATGTGCCGCCCAAGAAGAAATCTATTACGAGGTCGTTCATAATCTGCTACTAACATGATAATTAAAATTAGGCTATACGCAAAGTATCTTCAGGCAAACAGCCTCTCATAAAAGTGTACCTTGTGCGCTTATAAACTTGATACACGAAACAGATTCCATCGCGACGCGGGATGCTGAAATACCTTAAATAAAAAAAACTGTGCGCGCGAAAACAGTTGGTGCTTGTTCAACGCTTTGGTGAAAAATGTTAAAAATAACGAAAGTAAGAGCCAAGAAAGGGCAGTATTTCACAAAATATCCAATTGCAACAGTGCGAACTATTATAGAGGAATCTCATGGGTATGTTCGTGCGCAAGATAACTTTCGTTTTTTTGTTACCTTGTATTCTCCTATTTTCTATTATAATAGTTTAGAGGCTGGGCGTCAATGTCCTCGAGTGACGTTATTGTTCACTTGACCACCAGGATAAAATCTCGAAAACTTGCGCATGATCCAGAGTAGGTTGACACGCCATTTGGGATGCTTTCTTCGAAGCTTACGTTATCTTTCATCGCATTAGTGCTTATTATGGCAGTGTAAGTATTTTGCCCCAGGCCTTAATGCAAGAATATTTTTCAAGACTTTCTGCACGGTTATTTATGGCTATGTATCTACCAATTTCAGGAACCTATCTTCAGTAACAAAAGCCCTAAATGGGTAAGTATTAAGCATCTTAAACAATTTTTTTCAAAATTTCTGTGTTAGTCAATACTCGGCTTCCCTAAAGATCTCATGGTTTATTGAAACGCATATATCAATATCTATGGAAGTCTTTCACTTCGATGTACGGTGGCACGCAGTTCTTTTGCTACTTTTATGCTCTTTTATGTAACAGGACCATTACACGTATAACGACTGGCTTGCGCAGATCCCGTTCAAAAGTTTTGAAACGTTTCAAATATTTAAAATGTTGTGATAGGTTTGAGCGCGCGAACGCTAACAGTTCAACTCAAGCAACCGAAAATGTTAAGACTGGAACGTTCGATGCTGCATGCATAAATGTCCCACATGCCTTACCACAGATCAAATTATTCGATGGCTGACGACTCTTCTTGCCACTATCGGCGCACAGAGTATATAGCTACTGTTTTCCACTTTTTGTTTTTCGCACACAAGTTTACCGAAACAAAGAGTTCGATATTTCGTAGCCTTGCTGCAACCCTTCTCATCATTGAAATGCCAAAGTTAGCTAGATTATGCCGCAAAATACATTTGTGCAAAAGAGGGCATTAGTGAAGAGAACACAGTGAAGCGCCATCAATTTTTGGCATGTACTTTCCCCTCTTCTCTTCAGTCCCCTTTTTTTCCAAAATGTGTTTTGGGCCAAAGTAAAATGTACATAAGGAATGTGAGATGGGACTAGCGGCAGAGGAGTCGTTTTGGTGACGTCTGGTGAATGTACCAATTTTTTTATATATTCCGTACGCGAGTGAAATGCTATACTAATAATAACTCTTGGGTTTTAACGTCCCAAGACCACCATTATATTACGAGAGAAGCTGTGGTGGCGGGCTTTGGAAATTTTGACCACCTGGGGTTTTTTACCGAGGACCTACATTTATGAACGTGAGCCTCATGGATTTTCGCTTACATAGGAAGT